ATTTGTTGGATATATAATTCTTGGTTGGCAATTTTGTCTTTCAGGGTTTAATATATGTCATCCCATTGCCTTCTAGCCTGCATAGTTTCTGCTGAGAAAACAGAGCTTAGTCTTGTTGGTTGCCCTTTTAGGTAATTTTTCATTTTTCTCATGGTGCTTTCAAGATTCTTTCTTTGTCTTTGGTTTTGGAAATTTTGATTATCATATATCTTGGTAATTTTCTTTTGGGGTCTGTCCTGTTTGGGGTTTGTTGAACTTCTTGAACGCGTATCTTCTCATCTTTCATGTTATTAGGGATATTTTCTTCCAATAAATCTTGGACAGTTTTCTTTTTTTTTTTTTTTTTCATCTCTTCCTGTTCTAGAATTCAAATCACATGTAAATTATTCCTTTTGATGATGTCCAACATAAATCAATGAAGGATAGAACAATTCGAAAGAAACTCAACAAAGACACAGAAGAACTGGACATCACAATCAATCAACTTGACCTTATAGATATATACAGAGCACACAGCACAATATATATTCTTTGCCAGCACACATGGAATATTCTCCAGAATAGACCATATGTTAGGCCACAAAGCAACCTTTAAATTTAAAAACTTCAAAATAGTGTGTGAGACCACTGTTTTAAATTAAAAGTCAAGAAAAGGTTTACACACAAAAATAAATATTCTTTGTTGGTTACCAGGGGTAGGCGGGGAAGGAAAGGTAACCACTAACTACAGTTGGGCGAAGGGGAAGGCAATATACAATAAGAGGGATATCTGTTTTATAGATTACTTATTAAATTAAAAAAAAAAAATAAAGTAAAAATTTTGACCTGTCCTCCTTTTAGCACCATGGTAGGTCATAGGCAGGATTATCTGGTAAATACATTCCATATAGTTATAAACAGCTTAATGGTTTATATCTCACACATACTGATTAGCAGTAATTTAACCCAAAGGTGTGCGTCATAAGGTAATACTGATTGAGATGCCTGCAGGTTAAAAATTTTTCAGTAAATATGTTAAAAAATTGTAAACCAGAACACTTGGTTGCTCTATCAAGGATAAAACCAGCCTTTTTTGTAGATCAACATTTGGACAAAAGCACATACAACATTAGGTATAAATACAAATAGCTGTTTTTGGAAAACCTCCCTATAATTCTAATGTAATTCAATTAGAAAATATTTCATATTTATCCACATTGCATACATATGCAACTTTTCAGTGTGTCCAGGTAAATACAGTTTGGAAGTGCTATAATGAGGGAATGGAAGGAAATTTTTCTGATCACTTACCATGTGCTAGATGATCTGCATGTATGACTTCATTTAAACCTCATTCAAACTCTACAAAGTAGATATGTGTCCCATTTTGAAGATGAAGAAATTAAGGCTCATGGAAGTAGCACTGAAGTTCACTCTTACTGGAAATGTGGCTTTGAAGCTGAATGCCTGCCTTTGAAGTCTGTTCTTTTCCTAGTGCACACCAGATGACAATCAGAGAATTTGTGGAGTATAGAGGAAGGGGATGAGATCTGCAACCTGAGTGTTACTAGTAAATTATAGGCTGCCCTGTTGAGGAAGCCTTCCCGGGAGGGGTGAGGTTGAAAAAACTGTTAGGATATCCTTAAAGAGGAAATTTTTCAATAATCCCCAAATTTAGAGCCAAAAATCAGGTTAACCAAAAACAAAAAAACCTAACCCACTGTCATTGAAATGATTCCTATTCATAGCAACCCTATAGGACAGAGTAGAACTGCCCCATAGGGTTTCCAAGGCTGTAAATCTTTGTGGAAGCCTACTGCTTCACCTTTCTCCAGAAGGGCAGTTGGTGGGTTCAAACAGCCCACTTTTTGGTTAGCAGTTGAATACTTTAACCACTACCCCACCAGAGCTCCTCATAACAGTTAATGTGGTGGTGAAATTAATCTTAAAGTTACTTAACTGTCCTCAGGTGCATGTGGTGGTCTACAAGATCACTGAATGGGCATTCTCGGGTGGGCCTGGGACTGTGAGGATTCCCAAGAAGCAGAAAATAGGGCCTCCACAGGTTTTCTTCTGCTCCTGGGACACTCTGCCCAGATGGTCATAAAAAGATTTTGTCTATGTGCCTTGTTGTTGTTGTTAAATTACAAAAATAACCACTTAAATTTGATAAAAAGACCACACATTTTCCCCACACTCATCGAGCCCAATAGGTTCTGGTTGTATGAGAACCTAAATGAATGACTTGACGACATTTTTTAACTGGTAGCATAGTGGCTAAGGCACTTGACTGCTAACCAGAAGGCTGGCGGTTCAAACCCACCAGCCACTCCTCGGAAGGAAGGTTGGGCAATCCTACTTCCGTAGTGATACTGCCTCGGAAACCCAAGGAGGGGTCGCTATGAGTCGGGGCTGACTCGACGGCAAATAACAACAACAACAACAACAAAAGATCCTTTTATTTCCTTTGATGTTCTCTCACTGTCATTCTTTATTTTGCTCTCCTGGGAGGATCAATACATAGGATTCTCTAATAGTCCATGAGATATTTATTATTTACCAAAACTCTACCTTATGCCTTGTTGTTGTTATTATGTGCCGTCGAGTCAGACCCGACTCATAGTGACCCCTCCTTGGGTTTCCGAGGCAGTATCACTACGGAAGTAGATTGCCCCATCTTCCTTCCGAGGAGTGGCTGGTGGGTTTGAATCGCCAACCTTCTGATTAGCAGTCAAGTGCCTTAGGCACTATGCTACCAGAGCTCCTTGGTATGGTAATTAATGGGAGGAAATTTTTAAATTTTTTCTTTTCTAAATTTAAAGATGATTAAATTCATTTAGGGGTGAATGGTAACAAAAGACATGAACATTAAAAGTTTTTATAGTTGACATGGAATTTTGGCATGTGCCATGTTTGATTACATCATCATCTGGCATCTCTTTTGCTGTTGATGTATTAAAACTGGATCTGAAAAATATATTAATCTTGTGTCCTGATAGCAGATATGTCCATTACGATGACTCCCTTCCTGCCAGTCTCCTCATGAACAGCTTTTCCATGTGATTATTAGCCCACTGTGCTCCTACAATACAGAAAGCTCAATCGATGGTGGCTTGTTAAACAGACAGAAATCTCTAGGGTCACTGATGGCCCACTTTCCACTCTGTGAATCAGTCCCAGCAAACTGCTTTCCTGTCCTTGTCCTGTCCTCTTCCCACCCACAATGGCAGTTACTGGATGGATGAACCTTATCCTGATGGGTGGTAGAAGGAAGTTCAGAGACATTTCCTGTTGGTAGTGTGCTAATATAGGACAAGGTACAGCCTCTGGGCATGGTTTTTTGGAATATCCGGATATCTGCTCACCACTTCTTTTCTTGTCCTAATGAAAAACTTCCTGGCTTCTATTATTGCTGTTCCATATTGTTGGTGTCTCATTGTGGTCGCTGTGATGTAATTATTCTAAATTCAGTAGCTAATAAGCAGTTAATAGAAGTTTTCCGAAACTCTCCTCCTATGCTTTTTGCGCTCCCCGCCCCCCCCTTTTGTTTCTTTCAGCAAAGTTAGGAGAAGACACAACACATATCCCCCACGCCACACGCAGTTCTGTTTGGGCACTGGCGATCAGCAGGAAGACACAATAAAGTTGAAAGGGTTGTTTCCAGATCACCATCAGAGCTGGAGAAATTATTTCATGCTAACTTGATACATGGAATTTAAGAAAGAAAGTGCTCACAAGCACAAACAGGAAAGCCTTACATCACGGAGTAGCGTGGGGAGGAGTCTGCTGCGCCCTCGCTCTCTCGATGCGCTCCCTTTGTGGCCCGAGTCGCGCGCACCGGTGGAGGCAGCGCAGCGCGTGTCTGTGCTCGGTGGCCCGGCGGGACTGTGGGCAAGAGGCACCGCAGGGGTGAGCCGAGCAGAGACTGCGTTTGCCTTGGAGCAGGACGCATCATGCAGCGTTCACATACCGAAGAGAAAACTGAGAATGAAATTGCTTTGGGAAGCTAAAATGGTAACGAGAACTCCCTGACTTCTTTCGAGGCTCCTCTGGTGGGGAATCTTCTCCCGCTTTCCCTGGGAGTGTTTTGGACTCAGTGAACGGAGCGATCCGATCTTGTGAGCTAAAGCTTTCTCACTTTGCTTTGTACGCCTCTCTCTGTGTCTTGTCCCTTTAAATGATATCTGCTTTCTCTGTAATTGCCTTTACTGTGTTCGGGGCAGATACAGGTCAGGAAAAGAAAACTTTTAGGAAAAAGAATTTTAAGTGTGAAAGAACCGCAGAGCGCTTCTGCGTCCCAGCGGCTCTTTAACACAGACCTTAGGTTTAGTTGGGGGCATGGAAAAGCAGGGGGTCGCTGCACAGATTTTAGTTGAAGCTGCGTGATGATGTGTTGCTTTTTCTGCACTTGCCAGACTGTTTTACCGAAACAAGGCTTTCCACCTCCACTAACTTTTTGAGTTCTAACACAGTAAGGAGAGAAAAGGACATTCACAGCATTTCACTTCTCAAAGAAGAGACTCTTGGCATTTTTAACAGTTGTTTGTGCCTGAGTTTAAAATGTAGTTTGCTCAAGTAACTGAGCCACTTGTGCAAAGCACAAACTATTATGACAAACGAATTATTTTTCCTTTCATGTATGGGTGCAAAGTTAATCAAGACCAAACCACTTTATGTAAAAAAGAAAAGCTTAAAAAAAAGCCCAGAAAACAAACAAACAAACAAACAAAAAACCCAGTAAGATATGTGAGCAAGCCTAGGAAAAATAATTAAATGGAAAAGTCTGAGGATCCTGATACCACAGGAAAGGGCTGTAGGCCAAGAAAATCTCAGCATTCCCTCTATTGCAGTGTGTCTTGTGTTGCTCTGATTGTAATATTTATTTTGAACAGCCCATCTTGTGCCCTGAGTACTGTTGCAAGCAGCAAAGCAGCTGGGATAGATTGTGGTTAGCAGACAGAAAAAAAAAACACAACAAAAACCCCACAACTTTTTTTTTCTCTTTATCCCATCCCTGGCAGAGCTCAATTCAGGACTGGGGTGAAGAGGTAGAGGAAGGAGCTGTTTACCATGTCACCCTCAAAAGAGTCCAGATTCAGCAGGCTGCCAATAAAGGAGCAAGATGGCTAGGGGTGAGTAAAACTGGAGAGACTTCTTGTGACCTGCGGCATTCCAGTGTCTGTCGTTCTGCGAATATCAGTATATTTTAGAGAGGCAGCCTTTTCTATTTTGTTTTCTTTTTCCTTTTGGTCTTGAAATTGCTGATGATCAAGCGTGTACAGTAGCCTGTACAAGGTCTGTTTTTGATGTCTTTCAAAGCATCTTCCCTACATTTGTTAATAATTCAGAACCTCTTAGAAGCATCTTGAGGTATCTGGCTAATAGATTGCAATGGAGTGGCAGAAGGTGACACACAAAATAGCAGAACAAGAGAGCAGCACACTCTGTTAGATAAGCACCTTTGCCCAGTGAGTACCCATTTCTCTCCTGCTCCCCCCACCCCCGCAATTGATGCTGATAGCCCCTTGTCTACTTTTGTATCTGTGGCAAGTACCCACAATGCTTAGGGAACAAGACCATAACACTTTGGGTGGTGGCATATTTCCCATTATTTCCTCCTTTCTGTAGCCTGGAAAGAGGCAAATGAATGTTTAGTGCCCGCAACTTCATGTGTAAAGTGCAAAGTTTTTGGAGAAGCACTGATTCTTTTCCATTGATACTCTCAAATATTGGGTGGGTCATGTGAGTTCATAGTTATTGCCTAGTAAATCCTTTAACACATCCCAAAGCAAGGGAATGTGAGAAATGGAAAATTCAGTGATAGGATCACTCCTTGGGCAAACATTAGCATGTGGAAGAAGAAAGCAATTCTTGCTGTGGAGATAGAACTGATCCAAAGAGAGAGATGTGAGAGGTAACACAAAAAAGCCTTGAAAAGGAAAATAATGCAGACTGACTCTTCTACGTGGTAGACTTGGTGGTATAGAAAGGACAGGGTGTGGTTTTACCTGGCTTTATTCAGCTCAGAGGTGATAGGCTTGAAAGCAATGAAGATTATGCAGTGGCATCTAATTTTTATTGACTTTGGCTTCAGAAAATTCGTAATGTTTTGAACAATAGTCAAACATGAAGTGTGAAGGAGGATGGGAAACACAATTGCCCACAGCCTTGTGTTGAGACAAGCAACTTGTAACTTGTAACTTCCAGTGTGTAAGGCAGGGCAGCTGGGCAGCCAGTAGTCATTCCATCTGCCACAGGACTGCTGACACAGGCATTCGTTGCTTTGGGCCTCCCCATATGCTTCAGCTCAGGGCTTTCCTGCTACTATACTTTGGGCTGAGGTACCACCCACTAGGGGCAATAAGCTGTTAGTGACCTCTGCAGCAGTGGCCTGCCAAAGTATAAACCTTTCCAGTGAAAACTAGAGATGTTCACTTTTCTAGTCCCTGCCTTACCTAGAATATGATGTTAAAACTAGTTATGTACACACTACAGCAGACCTGACTGGAGAAGCAGAACTAGGGTTCTGACAAGTCATCACTTTGTTTATGATGGTTGTGTATACGCATTTTATTTCAATGTGGTATTGATGTGGTTTGGCCACTCCGGCTATTTCAGAATGATTCACAAGTTCTACGCCATTTCAAGTGCCTTTGAAAGGGTCATTACATTTGCTGGTGCTGAGTTGTTCCTCTCTATTAGTTTTTAGCCAAATATAATATCAGATGAGTAAATCATGGGAAAATGAAGGTGCTAACTCTGTAGGCCCCAAGCATATAAAGTATCATTTATTTAGCTGTACACAGATACTTGATAATTCTCAATGGGGCAGTGGTGGTTCACTGGTTGAATTTTCACCTTTTATGCAGGAGACCCGGGGTTTGATTTTTGGCCAGTACACCTCAAGTGAAGCCAGCACCTGTCTGTCAGTGGACACTTGTGTGTTGCTATGATGCTGAACAGGTTTCATCAGAGCTTCCGGACTAAGGTAGACTAGGAAGAAAGGCCTGGTGATCAAATTCTAAAAACCAGCCAATGAAAAGTATATGAATCAGAACGATGTGATCCCCAGCCAGTCATGGGAGTGGTGCAGGACCTGGCAGTGCTTCTTTCCATTGTGGGGTTGACATGAGTCGGGGCCGACTTGACGGCAGCTAATAACAGCAACGTTCTGTTCACTAGACCTCCCTTCTTCCCTTCTCTCCTTTACCAGTGTTCTCAAAGTTTCAATCTTACAGAGACAGACAGACACACACACACAAACATACACACATACACAGTCTTGATACAGAGTTCAGAGTTGCTTCACTCCTGGATTTTGCAGTAGGTCTGAAAAATTGAGCGGGAAGATAATATAAAAAGATCGCTTCTATTTGAGAGAGAATTCTATTACCATTTTCTCCCATTTTCAACAAAGTGTGATTTGCTGCTACACTCTATTCCTCAAGAATAGGTTGTTAGGAACTCTCTAACTATGGCCCCACATGTTTTGCAGTCTTTGGTGTCCTGTTGGGAAGCTTTGTTTTAGTCCTTGGAAATTCCAGACTTTAATTAAAGGACTCAACCAGTTGAGCCATAGCAATTACAAAACCTTTCTCTTTAGGACCAAGTGACTTCCCTATGTTTGTTTTCCTGCATTCCAGTAACCCTTTCTTCAAAGCAATCAGCTTTAGATTCTACTAGAGATTGAGCTGAGGGGTAAGATAAAAATGTTATTGAAGTATGACAATAGCCTTATGAAGAAGGTAGTGTTATTATGATTTCTTTTTATCTACCTGAGGAACTTAATGACCAGATAGGTTAAATTGCTTATCAGGAAGTAATGAAGGCCAGATTTAAACCCAGATGGTTAGCTGTTACTGTCTTCAGAATATAAGGAATTCTGGTGGCATAGTACCTAAGGCATTTGACTGCTAACCAGAAGGTTGGCAGTTCAAACCCACCAGCCATGCCACATAAGGAAGACTGGGCAATCTACTTCCATAAGGATTTACAGCTTCGGAAACCCAAAGGGGGGGTCACTATGAGTTGGAATTGACTCAATGGCAGTGAGGTTTTTTTAATACATTTTATTGAAATATAATTTATGTACAGTGAAATACACAAAACTAAAGGGACATGGGTCGATGCTTTTTTTTTTGCAGTGTTCCCTCCCCTCCCCTCACACTCCTGGTAACCAATGAAGAATATTTCCTTCCATATATAAACCTTTCCTTGACTTTTTACAATAATGAACTAATACTATATTTGTTCTTCTGTGATTGACTTATTTCACTCAGCATAGTATCCTCCAAGTTCATCCACGTTATGTGATGTTTTGCAGATTCTACATTATTCTTTAGGGTTGCATAGTATTCCATTGTGTGTATGTACCATAGTTTGGTTATCCATTCTTCTGTTGTGCACCTAGGTTGTTTCCATCTTTTTGCTATTGTAAATAGTGCTGTAATGAACATGGGTGTGCGTGTATCTGTTCTTGTCCTGGCTCTCACTTCTTTAGGATAAATACCTAGTAATGGAATTGCTAGGTCAAACGATTATTTCTAATAACAGCTTTTTAAGGAATCTCCATACTGCTTTCCACAGTGGTTGTGTCATTTGACAGTCCTACCAGCAGTATATGAGAGTCCCAATCTCTCCACATCCTTGCCAGAATTTGTTATTTTCTGTCTTGTTGAACTTTGCCATTAATGCTGGGGTGAAATGGTATCTCATTGTTTTGATTTGTATCTCTCTGATAGCTAATGATCGTGAGCATTTCTTCATATATTTGCTGGCCACCTGACTATCCTCTTCAGTGAAGTGTCTATTAGTGTCTTCTGCCCATTTTTTAATTGGATTGTTAATCTTTTTTTTTGTTGAGGTGTTGGAGTTTTCTGTAAATTTTAGAGATAAGTTCCTTGTCAGATATGTCATTGCCAAGTATTTTTTTCTCAATCTGTAGGTTCTATTTTTACTCTTTTGCAGAAGTCTTTTGAAGCACATAATAATTTAATTTTTAGAAGGTCCCATTCATCTAGTTTATCTTCCACTATTTGTGTATTTTGGGTTATGCTTGCCAGTCTATTTATGCCATAAATGAGGGCCTCTAAATTTGGGCCTGTTTTTTCCTTGAGGAATTTTATAATTTTAGGTTTCACATTTAAGTCTTTGATCCATCTGGAGTTAGTTTTTGTGTATGGTGTGAGGTACAAATCTTGTTTCATTTTTCTGCAAATGGATATCCAGTTTTGCCAGCACCATTCATTAAAGAGATCATCTCTTCCACATTTAATGGATTTCAGCCCTTTGTCAAAAATCAACTGACCATAGGTTGATGGCTCTATTTCTGGGTTCTCAGTTCTGTTCCACTGGTCTGTGTGTCTGTTGTTGTACCAGCACTAGGCTGTTCTGAGTACTGTGGCTGGATAGTAGGTTTGAGATTCAGGTGTGTGAGACCTCCTACTTTGTTCTTCTTCTTCAATAGTGCTTTGCTTATTTAAGATCTCTTTCCTTTCCATATGAAATTAGTAATTTGCTTTTCCTTATTCTTAAAGAATGCTGATGGGATCTGGACTGGGATTTTATTGAATGCATAGATTGCTTTAGGTAGTATTGACATTTTCACAATGTTCAATGTTTCTATCCACGAGCATGGTATGTTCTTTCATTTATGTAGATCTCTTATGTTTCCTAGAGTAATGTTTTGTAGTTTTCTTTGTACAGGTCTTTTGTGTCCCTAGTGAGATTTATTCCCAAGGTTTTTTTTTTTGGTAGCTACTGTAAATGGTATTGATTTCCTTTTCAGCAATCTCTTTTCTGGTGTAGAGGAATCCAACTGATTTTTGTATGCTAAATCTCTCAATTAGTTCCAATAGGTTTTTTTTGCTGAGTCTCTTGGGTTTTCTATATATAGGATCATGTCATCAGCAAATAGGCGTAGTTTTACTTCTTCCTTACCAATTTGGATGCCTTTGATTTCTCTTTCTTGCCTTATTGCCCTAGCTAGGACTTCCAATACAATCTTGAATAGAGGTGGTGATAGAGGGCATTCTTGTCTGATTCCTGTTTACAAGGGGAATGGTTTCAGTCACTCTCCATTGAGAATAATGTTGGGTGTTGGTTTTGCATATATGCCCTTTATTATGTTGAG